AATTTTAGATTTTTGAGGGTCCCGAAATTTTTTTTCACTATAATATCAATATCGGTAAAATATCATAAAAATATCGATGAATATTGGTCAAAATGCCGATATCGGTTTGCATATAGGGTAATTGGGGTAGAATATTGAGAAATTTCAGAGAAATTATGTGATTTCAGAAATAAAAATTTTAAACTTTTTTTTAATTTACTTTATAATATTTGTTTTCTTTCATTATTTCTTTTGTCATATAGCAAGGAGAGAGCGAGAAATATCAAGAATACACATATTTGATGAAGATAATCTTTTTATGCATTTACAATCAATCAATTTGGGTTCCAATTATTGCAACTCTTCCGAAAGACTCTTAACATTCATTATCCATATAATCATAATTTTAGAAACTATGATAGATATGGAATTTTTAATTATCTTCATCGGAACATATTTCCACCATCTCAGGCGAACAATTGGGAGAATTCACAATTTATAATTCATAAAAATACAGTAGGAATGGATCAACAAACCTTCATGTGGCACATTCATAAATATGTTCAACATTATTCAAATAACATGTTATAATACTAATATTGTTTGAATCAAGATAGGATCCCAATCACGTTTGAGCCTCATAAAATTTCCTTTTAATATTAAGAAATGTAAATGTAAAACTTATTTATTTATGTATATTTTTAATGTTGATGTTCTCATAAAGTATTAAAAATATGTTCTAATGTAAATTTTCATCATTTTTATAAAAAATTTTAATATTTTCATTGATATCGATATTTTTTTCAATATTTTCGTAAAATTGGAGTATTTATTTTTCTACACCGATATTTTCATCTTTAGTTATATACATGTTGAATTACATTATCACCCCTCAATCAGTTAGGAGTTGTTTGGTTGAGGGATTCGTACTCCAATTCGAATCATAGTTTGTAATTCACTATAATATTTTTTTTTCATAAAAAATACACATAAATAAAAAATAATTTTAATTCATGAACTAAACATCTCCTTAAAGTACAACCCGACCACCAGCCACCCTCCTGCAACATCTCCGAGTGTTGTAAACTCAGAAAAATTAACCTTACACGATCAATAAATTATCGACAAGTGGGATCCTTTTTGTCAATCTCCAAAACTATTACATCTGCAGGTTTTGTAAACGCAGCAAAAGTCGACAAGTGATATCCTTTTGTCAATCCCCAAAACTATTACAATCTACAAAATAGGTATTGTTCCAGTCCGGTAGTCGGATCGGAGATAATGGTTGTGTTTGATATTGTTTTTCATTTTCAAAATCAGTTTTTATTTATAGAAAAAATTTATTTTAATGTTTAGTAAATCTGCTCAAAAGTATTTTTTAAAGAATTTTTAAAAAATCTACAGTCAAAATCAGAAGTAGTCTAAAAACAACTTTAACTTCTAAATTATGCGAGAATGAACATAATACAATTAATAAAATTTTCATAATACCCACAGTACCTTTAATAAAATTTAAAATTTAAAATTTTCTCAATCTAAAATTCAGATTCGTAATATAATATAATATAATATTATGTAATGTAAAATAATATTATAATTATATTAATAACTCTAATATTATTATTTTATCATATAATATGATATTATAATAATAATATAATTATTTTAATAATAAAATATTATAATTATTATTTTATAA